GAGGAGGAGCAGCAACAAATAATAATAATCAGTGTAATAAGTTCAATCGTCTGGGCTGTGTGTGGAACAATTAGTGTTAGTTAGTCGTAGTTCGGTGCAGCCAAATCCTCGGGGAGATCATGTCAGCTTTTTGTGGATGATGACGATTTTTCCATCAAAAGAAGAAAAAGAAGAGTAGGAGGATCAATCAGCTCAATTCTGTAAGTGGTGGCGGTTTCCCGTTGGCAACCAGCCGACCATCACACGAGTAGTAGCCAATGTCAGCCCTTCTATTGTCTCCATTTACACGCTATAAAAGAAGGAAAGAGAGAGAGAGAGAGAGAGGTTTTTATGATTATTGAACAGGGTTCCGGTGACGTTGACAGGCTTTCGCCAATCTTTTGTGTTTGGGTTTAGTGAGCACACTTGCCTTACCAGGTTTGCCGGTGGCGAGTCGGCTCTGGTCGCTTTGGTTGCCGCCGCCGCCACCGTCGTCGTCACCACCGTCGTTCCCAAGTGGGCCCTAGGTTCCTGCATCATCTGCTCACTGCTGATCAGCGAGTTCTTGTCCGCCTTTCCGCCGCTGCAACTAGTTCCGGAGATGCTCGCCTCTTCCTCCTCTTCCTTGGCCGACAGATGCAGCTTGACGCACCGCTTGCTCGAGTTGTAACTGTTGTTGTGGAGGGAGGCGTTGGCGTTGGCGTTGGTGCTGCTGGTGCTGATGTTGTTGTTGTTGTTATTGTTGTTGGAGACGGAGGCGGAGGCGGCGGCCGCCGCTGCTGCCGCCGTTGTGTTGTAGCTCGATCGACGACGAGAAGAGGCGTCATTTGGATGATGATGATTGCCATGAGCAGGCTGAAGTTCAGAGGCGGAGGAGGAGGAGGTGAAGAGGGCGGCCAGGCAGCAGGGCAGTATGGCCTTGAACTCCTTGCGGAAGTTTTCATTGAGCACCTGAAGGGGAAGATGAGGGAGGTAATGGTTTATGTGAATTTTTGTCATTCAGCCGCTAAGTGTTTACCCCATAGAGGATTGGATTGTAGATGACGGAGGACATGGCGATGACGTGGAGCACCAGAAAGGCCGTCGTGTTGTGCTGCAGCTTCACAAAGTCCATCAGCAGATTGTAGATGTTCAGGCCGGCCCAGCTCAGCACGAAGCAGACCACCTGAGAGGAACAGTAAAAGTGGAAACAAAAGGTTAGTTGGTTGGTTGGTTGGTTGATTGATCAGTTTAGCAGAAATAGTCTAGATCAGAAACAGAATTGTTTGTTTGTTTGTTTGTTTGTTTGTTTGTTTGTTGCCTGTACCATGCAGATGAGCATCGTGTTGGTGCGACGGGCCCGTTCCCGTTCCTGCTCCTCGCGACGAGCAGAGACGCTGCCCGGGATGGACTTGGTGCGGTCCCACAGCTTCCCGCAGACTTTGGTGTAGCAGAAGCCTGTGTAGCAGAACATGTGAGGAGGAGGAGGAGGAGGAGGAGGAAGAGAAACAACAAGAAAGAAGGAAGACCGATTGGCCGTGAATTAGTAATGATGTTGATGACCAATGAGCGATGATGACCGATGATGATTGGCTGACTGATTGACTGATTGCCTGTTGTTGTTATTGCCTTTTCTTTTCTCATCTATTATTACTGTCGACATTGTTAAGCCTACTTTGAAGAAGCCCTTAAGAAAAATACCCAACCCAGCCTAACCAACCCAACCCAACCCAACCCAACCCAAACAAACAAACACCCGAAAACGTACCAATAATCAGCAGCGGCACGACAAACTGCAGAATGCTGGTGAGGACGGTGTAGGAGAGGCGGACCGAGTCGCCGGGCCACTGCTCGTCGCAGTACAGCACAATGGGCTCGGTCACCTCCATCACATCCGTTTCCGTTTCCGTTTCCACTTCCGTTTCCGCATCCAACAGGGGGTCACCTCTTTCCATTACAAATTCTTCTCCACCACCACCACCACCTCCACCACCACTGCCTCCAATTTCCACCAGTTTCATGTAGTAGGCGTAGGGCGAGGTGATGACCGCCGTCACCAGCCAAATGGCGAGGATGATGCCGATGCAGACGTTCATCTAGCCATGAAAAAAGCAAAAATCCGGTTAACTTCCGGTCCAGGTTTTCGTTTCACTACTTTAAAAAAAGTCTCTCTTACCTTCATCCTCGCCCTCAGCGGGTACATTATCACCTGGTACCGGTCAATGGCGATGCTCATCAGCGTGAAGGCGCTGATGTAGATGGAGGCGCCCTGGGCGAAGGGCAACAGGTGACAGAGGACGGCGCCAAAGTGCCAGGCCCGGTAGACGAGCAGGTAGAGGGGCGTTATGGGCACGGCGAAGAGACTGAGGAGGATGTCGCTGAAGGCGAGGTTGGAGATGAAGACGTTGGTGACGCTGTGCATCGCCGGGTTGCGGGCGACGGAGAAGAAGACGAGGCCGTTTCCGGCGACGCCCAGCAGGCAGATGGCCGCGTAGATGACGCAGAGGAGGATGCGGACGGTGGGGAGGACGTCGCCGGAGGAGGAGGAGGAGTTCTCGAAGTCCTCCTCTTCGAAGTTAGCACTTCCTCCCTTGACGACGGAGTTGGTGAGCAGGTGAAGCTGGCCAAGCTGGGCGGCGTCGGCGGCGCCGCCGGTGAAGGACGAGATTGAGCTGTGGTTGCCGTTGCCGTGATTAGTGAGGAGCTCATTTAGGAGGTCGATTTGGGAGAAGTTTAGAAAGCTTCCGCTGCCGCTGCCACTTCCGGTTCCGCCGGTTGAGGTGCTGAAGTTCCGACTTTGGTTGTACCGCTGCAGCAGGTCCATCAGTTGGCTGTAGTAGGAGGAGGCGTGGGGGTTCTGGTGGTGAGGGTTGTGGTTTGGACTTTGATAGCTACTACTTCCGCTTTGGAACGTTGTCTGCGGATAGTTGCCTGAAGAGATCACAGCAGTGTTTGAGGGATGGTGGCCTGATGGCGCTCCGCCGGCAGCGACGCTGTTTGACGACCAGTCGGCCATTGAGGAGAGCATCAGTGTGAGGTTTAGTTGAGACATGGTGAAGATGAGAAGATGATGGTGAGGAGTTTAGTTAAAAAGGTGAATTTTTGAGAGTGAATCTGCAAGGAAAAAAGTAAAAACGATGTTTCAATTTTAGCATTTTTTAATTTGTTTCAGGTTGGGCTAATCAAAACCTGGCTGATTGGGTGAGTGATTAGGGGCGACTGTCTGTAACAAATAGCCAGTCAAACAAAAATTGCCAGAGCTAAATTGCCCACCTAAGATTGATTATTGGTGGTCAGTGGTGTGGCTACCACCACCACCACTAATTGACGCCCACACAAA